ACTGTGAACGTTCATCTTCCACTGTGAACGTTCATCTTCCACTGTGAACGTTCTTCTTCCACTGTGAACGTTCTTCTTCCACTGTGAAAAGTTCATCTTCCACTGTGAACGTTCATCTTCCACTGTGAACGTTCATCTTCCACTGTGAACGTTCATCTTCCACTGTGAACGTTCATCTTCCACTGTGAACGTTCTTCTTCCACTGTGAACGTTCATCTTTCACTGAACGTTCATCTTCCACTGTGAACGTTCTTCTTCCACTGTGAACGTTCATCTTCCACTGTGTACGTTCATCTTTCACTGAACGTTCATCTTCCACTGTGAACGTTCTTCTTCCACTGTGAACGTTCATCTTTCACTGTGAACGTCCATCTTCCACTGAACGTTCATCTTCCACTGAACGTTCATCTTCCACTGAACGTTCATCTTCCACTGTGAACGTTCATCTTCCACTGAACGTTCATCTTCCACTGTGAACGTTCATCTTCCACTGTGAACGTTCATCTTCCACTGTGAACGTTCATCTTCCACTGTGAACGTTCATCTTCCACTGAACGTTCATCTTCCACTGTGAACGTCCATCTTCCACTGTGAACGTTCATCTTCCACAACGTTCATCTTCCACTGTGAACGTTCATCTTCCACTGTGAACGTTCATCTTCCACTGTGAACGTTCTTCTTCCACTGTGAACGTTCATCTTCCACTGTGAACGTTCATCTTCCACTGTGAACGTTCTTCTTCCACTGTGAACGTTCTTCTTCCACTGTGAACGTTCATCTTCCACTGTGAACGTTCATCTTCCACTGTGAACGTTCATCTTCCACTGTGAACGTTCATCTTCCACTGTGAACGTTCATCTTCCACTGTGAACGTTCTTCTTCCACTGTGAACGTTCATCTTTCACTGAACGTTCATCTTCCACTGTGAACGTTCTTCTTCCACTGTGAACGTTCATCTTCCACTGTGTACGTTCATCTTTCACTGAACGTTCATCTTCCACTGTGAACGTTCTTCTTCCACTGTGAACGTTCATCTTTCACTGTGAACGTCCATCTTCCACTGAACGTTCATCTTCCACTGAACGTTCATCTTCCACTGAACGTTCATCTTCCACTGTGAACGTTCATCTTCCACTGAACGTTCATCTTCCACTGTGAACGTTCATCTTCCACTGTGAACGTTCATCTTCCACTGTGAACGTTCATCTTCCACTGTGAACGTTCATCTTCCACTGAACGTTCATCTTCCACTGTGAACGTCCATCTTCCACTGTGAACGTTCATCTTCCACTGAACGTTCATCTTCCACTGAACGTTCATCTTCCACTGTGAACGTTCATCTTCCACTGTGAACGTTCATCTTCCACTGTGAACGTTCATCTTTCACTGTGAACGTCCATCTTCCACTGAACGTTCATCTTCCACTGAACGTTCATCTTCCACTGTGAACGTTCATCTTTCACTGTGAACGTTCATCTTCCACTGAACGTTCATCTTCCACTGAACGTTCATCTTCCACTGAACGTTCATCTGCCACTGAACGTTCATCTTCCACTGTGAACGTTCATCTTCCACTGTGAACGTTCATCTTTCACTGTGAACGTTCATCTTCCACTGAACGTTCATCTTCCACTGAACGTTCATCTTCCACTGAACGTTCATCTTCCACTGTGAACGTTCATCTTCCACTGTGTACGTTCATCTTCCACTGTGTACGTTCATCTTCCACTGTGTACGTTCATCTTCCACTGTGAACGTTCATCTTCCACTGTGAACGTTCATCTTCCACTGTGAACGTTCATCTTCCACTGTGAACGTTCATCTTCCACTGTGAACGTTCATCTTCCACTGTGAACGTTCATCTTTCACTGTGAACGTTCATCTTTCACTGTGAACGTTCATCTTTCACTGTGAACGTTCATCTTTCACTGTGAACGTTCATCTTTCACTGTGAACGTTCATCTTTCACTGTGAACGTTCATCTTCCACTGTGAACGTTCATCTTCCACTGTGAACGTTCATCTTCCACTGTGAACGTTCATCTTTCACTGTGAACGTTCATCTTTCACTGTGAACGTTCATCTTCCACTGTGAACGTTCATCTTCCACTGTGAACGTTCATCTTTCACTGTGAACGTTCATCTTTCACTGTGAACGTTCATCTTTCACTGTGAACGTTCATCTTTCACTGTGAACGTTCATCTTCCACTGTGAACGTTCATCTTCCACTGTGAACGTTCATCTTTCACTGTGAACGTTCATCTTCCACTGTGAACGTTCATCTTTCACTGTGAACGTTCATCTTTCACTGTGAACGTTCATCTTTCACTGTGAACGTTCATCTTCCACTGTGAACGTTCATCTTCCACTGTGAACGTTCATCTTCCACTGTGAACGTTCATCTTCCACTGTGAACGTTCATCTTTCACTGTGAACGTTCATCTTTCACTGTGAACGTCCATCTTCCACTGTGAACGTTCATCTTTCACTGTGAACGTTCATCTTTCACTGTGAACGTTCATCTTTCACTGTGAACGTTCATCTTCCACTGTGAACGTTCATCTTCCACTGTGAACGTTCATCTTTCACTGTGAACGTTCATCTTTCACTGTGAACGTTCATCTTCCACTGAACGTTCATCTTCCACTGAACGTTCATCTTCCACTGAACGTTCATCTTCCACTGTGAACGTTCATCTTCCACTGTGTACGTTCATCTTTCAATGTGTACGTTCATCTTTCACTGTGAACGTTCATCTTCCACTGTGTACGTTCATCTTTCACTGTGAACGTTCATCTTCCACTGTGTACGTTCATCTTTCACTGTGAACGTTCATCTTTCACTGTGAACGTTCATCTTTCACAATGAACGTTCATCTTCCACTGTGAACGTTCATCTTCCACTGTGTACGTTCATCTTTCACTGTGAACGTTCATCTTCCACTGTGTACGTTCATCTTTCACTGTGAACGTTCATCTTTCACTGTGAACGTTCATCTTTCACTGTGAACGTTCATCTTTCACTGTGAACGTTCATCTTTCACTGTGAACGTTCATCTTTCACAATGAACGTTCATCTTCCACTGTGAACGTTCATCTTCCACTGTGTACGTTCATCTTTCACTGTGAACGTTCATCTTCCACTGTGTACGTTCATCTTTCACTGTGAACGTTCATCTTTCACTGTGAACGTTCATCTTTCACTGTGAACGTTCATCTTTCACTGTGAACGTTCATCTTTCACAATGAACGTTCATCTTCCACTGTGAACGTTCATCTTCCACTGTGTACGTTCATCTTTCACTGTGAACGTTCATCTTCCACTGTGTACGTTCATCTTTCACTGTGAACGTTCATCTTTCACTGTGAACGTTCATCTTTCACTGTGAACGTTCATCTTTCACAATGAACGTTCATCTCACCGTGAACGTTCATCTTTCAGAATGTATCGTCAGGTTACGGAAGACAGTGATTGGGTGAATGATGGAGAATGTGCTTTCTTTTTTGAGTCACCTTGCTATGGTAGAAGGCGGCTGCTGAGGTCACAGTTATATCACTGGATTATTTTAAATAACTTCATCTGCAGTAAGTGTCCAGGGTCCAAGACTGCTCAACAGCCTCCCAGTATACAAAAGGGGACTTACCAATAGACCCCCTGGCAATCTATAATTATAATAATAATAATAATAATAATAATAATAATAATAATAATAATAATAATCTATTTCTACGAGTAGAAGGTACACAGACCATAGCTGACACCAGGATGCGACCCACACCAGTCCACTAACACCCAGGTACCTATTTTACTAGGTGAACATGGACAGCAGGTGTCTTAAGGAAACACGTTCTAATGTTTCCACCCGTACCGGGGATCGACCCCCAGACCTCAGTGTGTGATACGAGTGCGCTAATAATTGACCTACAGATACCACCAAGAGGGAACTGGACAGGTACCTAACAGCATTACTACTGTGTGTGTGACTCACCACGACGCTGATAGTATACCACTATCACTGTTACTATACCTTGTTAAGGTACTACACATGACTGTATCCTGAGATTTACAGGACGTGGACCAGCAGACTCACTGCAATGTTCAGTGTTTACAGGACGTGGACCAGCAGACTCGCTGCAATGTTCAGTGTTTACAGGACGTGGACCAGCAGACTCGCTGCAGTGTTCAGTGTTTACAGGACGTGGACCAGCAGACTCACTACAATGTTCAGTGTTTACAGGACGTGGACCAGCAGACTCACTGCAATGTTCAGTGTTTACAGGACGTGGACCAGCAGACCCACTGCAATGTTCAGTGTTTACAGGACGTGGACCAGCAGACCCACTACAATGTTCAGTGTTTACAGGACGTGGACCAGCAGACCCACTACAATGTTCAATATTTACTCTGTGTTTGTGTTCAACTTGGCTGTCATGTTTTCTGAATGTACAGTGTGATGGCACCAAATAGTCTATTAAACTCTAGTAAGTCTGCTGAGAAGGCGAAACGTTGTCGTAAATACAATTTTCAATTGCTACTTGTGTTGTTTTTAGCCCCTCTTCCCCACACACACTGGAAGTTAAAAACTCTGACGAGTCACAGGGATGTTGGGAAGTATTTCTTCAGCCTTAGAGTTGTCAGGAAGTGGAACAATTTGGAGAGTGATGTAGTGGAGGCAGGAACCATACATTAGTTTTAAGAAGAGATGCGATAAAGCTCACGGAGCAGGGAGAGTGGACCTAGTAATGACCAGTAAAGAGGCGGGGCCAGGAGCTATGAATCGACCCCTGCAACCACAAACAGGTGTGTGCACACACGCATATACACACGGGTAAATTTACTCCATACACAGTTTTAAGACGAGGTGTGATAAAGCTCACGGAGCAGGGAGAGAGAGAGGACCTAGTAGCGACCAGTAAAGAGGCGGGGCCAGGAGCTATGTCAACCACAAATAGATGAGTGCACACGAGAATAATACTCCGCCCAGCGGCACTGACACTAACCGTTTAGTGGTGCTGATGCTCTTAGTCTGCTGCTGGTGCTCCTGCTGGTGCTCCTGCTGGTGCTGCTGCTGGTTCTGGGGTGTCAAGTATAGGACGATCCTCCAGTACTCCTTCAACTTCATCCTTCTCCTCCAGAGTCTCCCCTCACCCTTCATATCCTTTAACGTCTACTTCCCCCTATATTAGTCTTCAACATTCCTTCACTCCTCTGGTTTAACTTCTTCACCCCCTCTGTTATTTAACTCCTCAAGTGGCGTTCCTTTATTTCGTGTTCTTAACGGCACTTCTTCGCGTTCCTTTAAAATAACACCATTTAAGTTCACCATTTACACATATCTAACAGTAGTGTTCTATTTGGAATCTCTTAGAGCTAGTTCCTAGGTGATTATATGTAGTCTCTCAGAATCTAGTTCCTAGGCCTCTTACTATATTTGTAGTCTCTCTTATAAGGCCTGACTCCTAGGCCTTTATACGTAGTCTCAGTAACTAGTTCCTAGGACGTTTGTATATACATATAATTTAGCACTACCGCCCACAGGATGGATAAATTGATGCAGGATAAACTGTCAGCTTGCCAAATTTACCTCAGTGTTCTTGGTGGCCACAAGTACAGTGCTTGCCAGTGTTCCCCTGAGGATAATTTCTGTACACAAGCGGTCGACGGGGTTACAAATATGTCTAACGGTTGTAACGGTTCCCTGTTGTTGTTACTGTTTACCCAAGACCCTGAGGAATGTTAATGTCCCATTAATATCCCAGTCGACTAAATACCCAAGTACCTATTTTACTGCTAGGTGAACAGGGACAAGAAGTTTCCTTAAGACACCTGCTGTCCCTGTTCATCTAGCATTAAGTATCTGGGTGTTAGTCGACTGGTGTGGGTCGCATCCTGGGGTTCCTAGTGTATCCTCCCGGCTAAGGGGCAGGTAGTTTGTTTTAGCAACTAACAAAGTTAATATAACAGCAATAAATGAAGATTTTAATCATTATTTTAAAGGGCATAATAAAGTAGATATGCTTAAAACTTAAACTCTCTCTTAACATTATTTGTTTATGTCTATCTCCGTCTGTCTGACGATTTTTGGGTTATCCCAGGTTCTCTACACATATGCTGCTATGTATGATAATTCTATGTAACTGTATTTGTATATACCTGAATAAACTTACTTCTGTGAGTCTGTCTCTCATCTCACCACCAGCCAGGATGCCTGTCCAGGAGCTTTCTTACATTACCACTGCAGTTTCTGTCTATATCCAGGTCTGTGAACCCATCTATCATGTCCACTCCGTCCCACCCTGGCACAGTAGTAGTGTGGAGTCTGTTGTACTCTATGCATGCTGCTTCCACGCCCACAGTGATCCTCATTACTCTTTGCTGGCTCTAACATTAGAAAGAAATTCGTGGTGTTTTTGTGTAGTGACTCGTGGTTCAGTTGGTAGCTGTGTCAGCTTACACGCTGAGGGACTGGGGTTCGATTCTCGGACGAGTGGGAACGTTGGGCGTGTTTCCTTACACCTGTTGTCCCCTGTTCACCTAGCAGTAAGTAGGTACCTGGGTGTTAGCCAACTGTTGTGGGTCGCATCCTGGGGGACAAGAATAAAGGACCACAGTTGCCTTTAGTGGGTTATTCTGGGTTACTAACCCTCCTGGTTACTAATCCCAACCAAATCTTAAGTACGCAAGCTGACAGATAAATCCCACAAACTTCTATGCACATCTCAGTAAGCACTCTACTTTTCGGGGGGCGTCGACCCCCGGAACGCCCTCCAGGTATACTCCGAGTAAAAACGCTTTTTAAGTGTAGAAGTTGCGGTAAAACAGTGTCCACGAAGTCCTTTTCCGATTTGAAATTGTTTTGTTATACACCCCATACCCATCTTGTAGTCAAAAGATTACAGAGGTACATAATGGGTCCAGGGACTGGGCCCCAAAGTTTTGATAGCTGAAATGCATACGAGGGAATAGTTATTTTAACTTGAGGAGGTATATTCCCCTAAGAAAGAAGAAGAGCAGGAGTAAACTGGAGAGAAAAAGACGCTCCCTCTACAGAAGACGACGAAGAGTCACTGAGCTCCTCAGGAGTGCTAGAATATCTGATACACGAAAGGAGGCGCTGACCAGGGAAGTGGAAACTATCGAACTTAAGCTAAATGACTCTTACAGGAACCAGGAGAGGCAGGAGGAGCTTAAAGCTATTAGTGAAATTGAAAGAAATTCAAAATATTTCTTTTCATATGCCAAAAACAAGGCAAATACCACATCTAGTATCGGGCCCTTACTCAGACAGGATGGGACTTACACAGATGACAACAAGGAAATGAGTGAAATATTGAAATCCCAGTACGACTCTGTGTTTAGTGAACCACTAATCGGTCTGAGGATCGACGACCCAAATGATTTCTTCATGAATGAGCCTCAAAACTCCATAAATGTATGCCAGATTTCCGACATTACCCTAACTCCGATAGATTTCGAAAAAGCCATTGACAACATGCCTATGCACTCAGCCCCGGGCCCAGACTAGTGGAGCTCTGTTTTCATTAAGAACTGCAAGAAACCCCTCCCGCGTGCCCTAAGTACACTATGGAGGAGGAGCTTGGACATGGGTGAAATTCCACAGTCACTTAAAACAACGGATATAGCCCCACTCCATAAAGGTGGCAGCAAAGCATTAGCTAAGAACTATAGACCAATAGCTCTGACGTCCCACATCATAAAAATCTTTGAAAGAGTGCTAAGAAGCAGGATTGCAAATCACCTGGATTCCCAAAATCTGCACAATCCAGGGCAACATGGGTTCAGGGCAGGTCGCTCCTGCCTCTCACAACTACTGGATCACTATGACATGGCCTTGGATGCAATGGAAGAAAATCAGAATGCAGATGTAATATACACAGACTTTGCAAAAGCATTTGACAAATGCGATCATGGCGTAATAGCCCATAAAATACGTGCTAAAGGAATAACTGGGAAAGTGGGGAGATGGATCTTCAACTTCCTAACAAATCGAACACAAAGAGTAGTGGTCAACAGAGTTAAATCGGAGGCTGCCATAGTGAAGAGTTCTATTCCACAAGGCACAGTACTCGCCCCCATCTTATTCCTTATCCTCATATCAGACAAACAGAGATATACACCACAGCACCGTGTCATCCTTTGCGGATGATACTAGGATCTGCATGAGGCTGTCATCTGCTGAGGACGCGGTTAACCTCCAAGAAGATATAAACAGTTTTCCAGTGGGCAACGGTAAACAATATGATGTTCAATGAGGACAAATTCCAACTACTCCGTTATGGAAAACTGGAGGAGATAATAACTAGAACAGAGTATACTACTGACTCCGGCCATACAATAGAGCGGAAAAATAAGGTAAGGGACCTGGGAGTAGTAATGTCTGAGGATCTCACTTTCAAGGATCACAACAGTGCCACGATCACACGTGCAAAGAAAATGATAGGATGGATAATGAGAACTTTCAAAACGAGAGATGCCAAGCCCATGATGATCCTTTTCAAATCACTTGTTCTCTCTAGGCTAGAATACTGCTGTACATTAACATCTCCATTCAAAGCAGGTGAAATCGCAGATCTAGAGAGTGTACAGAGATCCTTTACTGAACGTATAAGTTCTGTCAAGCACCTTAACTACTGGGAACGCTTGGAAGCACTTGACTTGTACTCGTTGGAACGCAGGAGGGAGAGATATATCATAATCTCACTTGGAAAATCTTGGAAGGAATGGTCCCAAATCTGCACACAGAAATCACTCCCTACGAAAGTAAAAGACTGGGCAGGCGATGCAAAATGCCCCCAATAAAAAGTAGGGGCGCCATTGGTACACTAAGGGAAAACACCATAAGTGTCCGGGGCCCAAAACTGTTTAACAGCCTCCCATCAAGCATTAGGGGAATTGCCAATAAACCTCTGGCTGCCTTCAAGAGAGAGCTGGACAGATACCTAAAGTCAGTGCCGGATCAGCCGGGCTGTGGCTCGTACGTTGGACTGCGTGCGGCCAGCAGTAACAGCCTAGTTGATCAGACCCTGATCCATCGGGAGGCCTGGTCACGGACCGGGCCGCGGGGGCGTTGATCCCCGGAATAACCTCCAGGTAACTTGACAAGTTCCTCAGGTCGCTTTATAACCAGCCGGGTTGCGGTTCGTACGTTGGACTGCCTGCAGCCAGCAATAACAGCCTGATCCACCGGGACTGGGCCTCGGGGTTAATAAGGGAAGTTAACCCCAAAAATACCCTTCGGGTATGAGGGGTCCTGGCAGATAGACTAGTCCCATCAACCACCTTCCCCAGGGTTCCCTGACGTCAAGTCTTTCTGAAGGGTTTTATCTCCCACTTGACAACACAAGTCAACTGCAGATATAAATCCAGATGTAATCCTGTTAACCCTTTTGAGGGCATAATTCCTAGGCCTTTTTGTGTATCCATATGCTCTTGCGCTACCATCCACAGGATGGATATGAGGTACACAATAAACTAGCCACTACCATCCACAGGATGGATATGAGGTACACAAACTAGCCACTACCATCCACAGGATGGATATGAGGTACACAATAAACTAGCCACTACCATCCACAGGATGGATATGAGGTACACAAACTAGCCACTACCATCCACAGGATGGATATGAGGTACACAATAAACTAGCCACTACCATCCGCAGGATGGATATGAGGTACACAGTAAACTAGCCACTACCATCCGCAGGATGGATATGAGGTACACAATAAACTAGCCACTACCATCCGCAGGATGGATATGAGGTACACAGTAAACTAGCCACTACCATCCACAGGATGGATATGAGGTACACAATGCAAAATGCCCCCAATAAAAAGTAGGGGCGCCATTGGTACACTAAGGGAAAACACCATGAGTGTCCGGGGCCCAAGACTGTTCAACAGCCTCCCATCAAGCATTAGGGGAATTGCCAATAAACCTCTGGCTGCCTTCAAGAGAGAGCTGGACAGATACCTAAAGTCAGTGCCGGATCAGCCGGGCTGTGGCTCGTACGTTGGACTGCGTGTGGCCAGCAGTGACAGCCTAGTTGATCAGGCCCTGATCCATCGGGAGGCTTGGTCATGGACCGGGCCGCGGGGACGTTGATCCCCGGAATAACCTCCAGGTAACTACCATCCACAGAATGGATATGAGGTACACAAACTAGCCACTACCATCCACAGGATGGATATGAGGTGCACAATGAACTAGCCACTACCATCCACAGGATGGATATGAGGTGCACAATGAACTAGCCACTACCATCCACAGGATGGATATGAGGTGCACAATGAACTAGCCACTTCATTGTCAAAATCTAAATCTAAGATACCAGTATCTATAATACCCAGGGTTAGAATAAACGTT